GTTGGGTGCCTTGAAGCTGCTCGCCATGAAAAGCGCGGTGAGAACACCCTGACTTCAGCCTAATCCATCAGGTATTTAATTGATTCATCATTTTCTGCCTTCCCTGTATAGGTACGAGTGTTTTCCTAACCCCTCCAATTCACGCAGCCTTGTTTTTTCCACCGTGGGGCTTTCTTTTCCCCCTCCTCTGCACACGAGCAGACAAGATAGCTTAAGAGCTCTTATCTGCAAAGGGAAAAAAATAGTCTTAATCCCCATTTAATAACATAATATCAGCAGGTAACATGTTCAATATGGCAAAGGAACTCCAGCACCAGGTCAATAGGGTAGCTATAATTTTTAGCAATAAACAAAGCCTGCTTTTAATTACTTCTGCGAAATTGCTTGATCCGTGCATGATTAAATATTCATTCTGTGTAACTAGACAGTTTCTTTGTATATAGATCCATATTAAATTTAGCTGGCATCCTGCCCACACAACACATCTCATAAATTCCTTTTAATGTGCAGCAGCTTTGAAGACGTCCCTCCTCCCTCCTCCCCCCGTGTAAACGGCTGATGGCTCTGCCTTACCTGGGCGGCCGCCGCTCGGGAGACACATGGAATCTTTTAGGAAGGGAAATGATGGAATTTAGGGGAGACATGGGAAAAATAAACCTCCTGATTGCTCCATGATGGATCTGCGAGGGGAAAAAGTGACTCGCAGACCTTGTTTTCTCGCAGGCTTGCCAGCTAACTACTTTGGCAGCAGCGTGTGAGGGGAAAAAAATCCCTCCTTTTAAAGTCAAGCCAGGGCTGATGTAAATATTTATGTAATATTTTATTACAATCAGAATTCACTTCTTGATTGAAAAAATTTCCTAGGAACCCTGTGAAAAATTCGTATTAATACGGAATTTAAGTGTCTTGATTTGTTTTTAGCAGTGGCTTTGCCGGGAATGCCGACGGCTGTGGGGAAGGAGATTGGGATCGTGGTGTGCAATCAGGATCAGGCCCTGCCTCGGTGCCAGTCCTGCAGAGCAAGTCTCTCTTTGCCTCTCCTTCGTTGCATGGAGATGCATTGGTCAGTGCAGCACACAGGAGAACGGAGCAGGCGTGGGGCTGCAGGCGGCTGCTTGGGCATCCTGACTGCAGGGCAGTGGGAGCAGCTCCCCTTCAGAACCACCTCTCTTATGCATGGTGTTCCCCTCCAGAGCGTTCTCCGCTTGTGCTCCATGAATGCCAGAGGTGTAAACATTTGGAGGGAAGAAGCGGTGGGTGGGCTGCAGTGGGAGGAGATGCGGCAGAGGGATGCTGATGTGCACGGGGCTGCATGTGTGCACGTGCGTGTGTTGCACACCCACGGTCCTGGGTGCACAGAGGGATGCAAGGGGGGGGGTTTGTAGGGCACAAAAAAATCCTGTAAATTCCTCAGAGGCCTCAATGCTTAGGGCTGGAGTCGCAGGGTGCCTTTAAACGTGCTGATGAGGAAACATAGGGGTTGTAACGAGGAGAGGCTGTGCTAAACGAGTGGCAAGCCAATTAGCTTGCTTTAAAACATCATATTAATTAGCATGAAAATAAAGCCGAACTTTTTCAAGATAATTGCATCTTTCAAATATCGGTATTCTTGATCCGTGATCGTCTCATAAATATGCATTATGATATAATCCTTTAAAGACACGCTGTTAATGAGGAGCACGAGGAATGCGCTAGATGTTGGAAATGGTGGCACGAAATGGAGCAGCGGTGGCACTGCCCTTCCCGAGGGGTGCAACTTGCACGTGGCTTTTTGCCATGAGTCATGTACAGAAAGTGGTTGGAAGGTGAATAGAGACAGAGGGAATGGAGCTGGTGTTCCTCTGCTCTGCTCTGCTCGTGCTCTGAGCTTCACTGGAGCGTCGCGCTTTAAGGCTGAGCTACCAGGAGTTGCTGGCATGTGCAGTTTGGAGCTGATGTTGTAAAAATGGAACTTAGTCATCCCCTGTGGCTTTATTTATGGCTTGGGGAGAAGGAGGCTGGCAAGAAAAGGAGCTGTGCTCAGCACCATGCATGGCAGTGCTCAGGCTCTGGGGCAGCCCCCACCCACTGGTCCTACTGCCAGCCCCACTGCCAGCCCTGTGGGGTTGGGGTGGTGTCTGCATCACCTGCTCAAGCCGTGAGATGGGGTAAGATTCCCCCAGCCTGTTTGTGTGGATGGCATTGTGCAGAACTTGAGCACTTCCAGAGGTGCAGCCTGAATGCTGCTAGGTGGCCATAACCCCATCCTGCTGCCCATCCTCACCATGCTGCTCCTCCTGCCTGAACATCACAGGGGTTGGCTGCTGGGATGGTGCTTCCCTCCCGCTCTATTTGCCCATCTGCAGAATCTATGATCATAGGGAAGGTTGGCAAAGGCCTCTGAGATCGCCTCGTCCAACCAAACCAAAGCATGAAGGACTTACACGCTGCCGACAGCCCAGGCCATGGGTTAATCAACGTCTGTATGATATTTTGAGAACATAAAGCTCACACGTTAGTAAGTTATGGCTCTGCTATGGCCAAAGTGCTGCAGGCTTGGGCTGACAGTGCTGCACAACGCCCAGCGGAGTCGCAGCAGCACTTCTGTTCCTGCACCCAGCATTCCAGTAAGCACTTGCTGCTCTATGGAGAAACAGGACAACGTCCCTTCCACAGGGCAGCCATCAGCCACAGCTGCAGGCTGCACAGTGGGGTGAATTCAGTTTTTGCCATTTTGCTTTCTTTGCCATTTTATCCTGGGGTAAACGGGTTCCTGCATCTCCTGCTGTTTTCCATTCCCTCCTGGCTTTGTTAAGAAGATGAAGCTGCACGATGGGACAGCTTGGTGGTGGTGAGCCACCAAGACAGAACTCGTCAGCATGTATCAACCTCTGCCTTTGGAACCTAGATGGATTTTCTTCCTTTCTCACTTATTTTGGTGTCCCCAGAGGGTGTTCTGGAGGGAGCTGGCAGGTTGGGCAGGCGCAGAGGTGAGCAGGGCTGGCAGTGCTGTTCTCCCTGCTGGGGACTGGGTTATCCCAGCTCCTCCTGCTGCAGGGAGTGGTGGGAGATGCATTCCCAGCCTCCTTCCCGGAGTGCTTTGCTTTATGGCTGGTTGCACAGACTGCTGCGAATGGAGTGCCCGACCGCAGCGCTGAGTGTTGCCTAAGTAATGCCTGGCATTAAAGAATAATGCTAATTTCTCTTAAGAGATGGCAGTGCTAATGGGTTTTTTGATTGCACTGTATGTTTTTGTTCTTCTGCTTGGCCAGCAAAGAACAAGTCATTCCTAATGAATGCAGCGTTTCGAGGCCAGCAGGGGAAGGGATGCCCCGCCAGCTCTTTAGGTGTCTGCTAATGGCACTGTGGTGGCACTCCAGATGTCAAGGATGGGTCACCCACAGCCCATGATGCCATTCATTGCAGGTTGTCCCTAAATACCCCCACATTGACATCACCAGGAAGTTCATTGGTTCCATGGGGCTGGATGTGCCCTGCAGTAGGGCATGGCATAGATGGGTGAAGCTCTGGGTGCAGGAACCCTCCCCAGACACGAGGCTTTGGCACATGTCTAGCAGCTCTTCATGGGTTTAGCGTGACTGCAAACGTGCACTGCTTGGGTTTAATAATTAACCAGGGCTTTATTTAAGTCCATCGCTGCACTGCAGTAATGATTCATCAGATACCTCATAATGTGTACGCTGTAATTTTTATTAGGAGGTACTTCTAAAGCACAAAGCTGGTTGTTACCTGTTTGTATTCAAACACGTCATTAGTTACTGTGTATCGTGGGTCAACACTCGGGCATAAAACAATCCCTTTTCTTCTCTTGCAATGATTAACCCATCTATCAGCAGGCTCTGTTTAATATCTGTCACTATAAACAGTCATTACTTTCAAGAATAGCCAGATGGACAGATAATTTAAAACATATCTTGGAATCTATTTTAATTTTTAGAGGCCTAACTTAAGAAAAAAATCGTCGAAATGCCCATGCAATCACACGCCCAATTTGTGTGCGTAATTACCTTGATTACATGTGTGCTTGTGGTAATTGTCACCACAGATGGCACTGGGATGCATGAATGGTCACTTGTGCATGCAGAGCTGCTCCCCATACCGCGCCAGGGAGATTGCAGCTGCGAGTTGGTGAATGCTCTGCGCGCTGCGCTGCAGGACGGGTGTGCAGGGCTGTAGGGCTGCTGAGCCCAGCTTGCTTCAGGCACTTGGGTGCAGGCATGGGGAGCTGGCAGGGGGCCGGGAGGCATTGCCATAGGGCACAGGGCTTGGGGCCTTGTTGCAAAACGTCTCCTGCGTCTGCTTGCTGGGCTGTGCTGTTCTGTGGTCTGGGTGGTGCTGATGGGGGTCACCATGTCTGCCCTTCACCATGACAAGTCTGCCTGCAAATTTATCCGTGGGCCACCCACGTGCTGTCCTGTTAGCTGCCCCACTGGTGCATCCCCATGTTGCTCTGTTTGTTGCACTGTTGGTGCATCCCCATTGCCCTTGGTTGTACACCCAAGTGCTGCTCTGTCAGCTCAACCACCTGCCGCCCCTTTAGCACAAACAATCAATACCTCCAAGGTCATCAGGTCCGACTGTCAACCCATCACCACCATGCCCACCTATGGAATCTGTAAGGTTGGGAAAGATCTCCAAGGTCACCAAGTCCAGCCATCAACCACCATGGCTGCTTATGGGGTCATGGCATTGTTAAGGCTGGAAAAGGCCTCCGAGGTCATCAAGTCCAGCCCCAACTCATCCCCACCGTTCCCACTAACCATGCCCTCCCGTTACACAGCTGCACCCAGCAGTTCCCATCCCAGGCCAGCAGCTCTCCATGCTGTAGCACTGCCCTGAGTGGAATTAAGGATGCCCACTCATCAGGGTGGAGGGAGAGAGACTTAGGAGGCAGTCTATCTAAAAGTTATTATTAATTTTTATTGCTGCATGGATTTAGAGATTTGGAAGAAGATAAATTCCAAACAGACATCCATTACTAAACCGACAGTGTAGCTTAAAGATAACATTTACATTCTTACGGTGTTGATCTGTATCTGATCCCACTCAATCTGCTCCCTGTTCAAACTTTTTGCCACCTTCAGAAGGATCAATACCTACATCAAAGGTTATATGAAGGTGGCCAGATTCTTTTAAGCTGTTTGCATAGCCCTCAGTTTGCTGTGCTAACACAGGCTGGTACTTCTTCCAATAACTCTGTTTGCCTTGTATTAGGGCTGTTTGCTGAAACACCTAGCAGAATCCAATAGAGGACAGACTTTCTAAACATTTGGTCACATCTGTCAATCAATAACACCAATCGGTTTCCTGATACAAACAGCAAACTCTGCCAAATCTAATATTTGCCCAAACTTTTACTGACTCTTGCTGGTTTAAAACAGTAAAAGGCACCGGAGCAGACATCGGTGCGGAAAGGTTCTTGCTAATATTTAACCTTGGGCAAACAGAGAATAATTCCAGCAATGGAAGGAGAGAAAACAAACAGTGTAATTATTGTCCCCTTTTTATTGGAGATAATTTGCTTAAATGTACAGCTATTATCTGCTAATACGGCGAGGTATAATTGGAAGGAACAAAATACAGGTTTGGCCGACGCGGCGTGGGTCTCAACTCTTGAACCTTGCCCCCTGCCCCTAGAATGTGTTTATGCAGGTGATCTTGGAACAAACACACGCCGTTATCAGCGAATGGAAAACACCTGACTCAAAAACAAACAGCAAAAAAAAAAAAAAAAAAAGAGGGAAAATGTACTCAAGAGGTCTGAGGGCAAATCTGGATTGTGGATTGAAACCAAGAGGAACGATGAGGATGGATGCTTTTCTGGAGTGGCTGCGGGGCTGGGGTGGGTGGCTGGAACTGTAAAGCAGGGGATGCTTTCCGTGTGCATCAGGAATGAAGCGAGGGAATGGGTGAGATGTGGGGGCACCTCCATCCGTGGGGTCCTGGTCCCCGTAGTGCCACCATTGGAGGCTGTGGATGATGGTGTGGTTGGTCTTTATTACATTGGGTCGTGGAAGGAGAATAACTGGGACAGATAATGACCTGCACCTTTTGGTAGCCGTGTCTATCTTTGTGATAAGCAACAGTCACTCTCTGTGCAGGTAGAGCGCTCCGTCTCTATGCCTCAAAGAGCTGTTTTCCCCAGAACAGGATTCTAATTGGGCTCTGATTGAGAGCAGAACGCACCTGAAAGATGCACAGAGCACTGCTTCCCACAGCAGACAGCCTCTGCATTCTGAATGCAGCCTCACATGGCGTGTACTCTCATCTCTAACACTTTGTTCATTGCTGTGCACTGCTAAATATTGGATAATGGGAGTTAGCAAATGTTTTTTGCAGAGGGAAGCAAGTAAAGCAGAAAGTAGACGTGCTGCTTGGCTTGCAAAGGGAATTACGCTGCAGGTGACGGAGATGGTGCTCTGGGATGGGTGGTGAATGAAGTCGGGTTGAGCAACGCTTCTCCTCTGCCCCTGTTTTGCCCAACAAGTGGCTCCCAGCCCTTGCAGATGGTGTCCTGGGCAGGATGAGCCCACACAGAGCCCGTCAGCAGGGCGAGATGGTGCAGTCCTGAGTCACTGCTATTGCAGCAGATCCCAACCTGCATCTGCAGTGGGTGTTTGAGTCTGGCCCTGAGCCTTCCTCGCTGGGAAAAACCACATAGGTTTGCAGCAGAACATCTTCGGAGCAGCCCTTGGGGTATCCAGGGGACATCTGCCCATCCTGGTCACTCCGGAGAGCTGAAGCTCACTGCAGCTTAGCAGGCTGAAGCGAGAAGTTTGCATGTTACTCAGGGAGGAAAAATCAGAGGCACAGGGCACTGTGAGCAATTGCATGGATAAAGTGCAAAGCTATGGATTAAAGCCCAAGTGTGGTGCTGCCCAGGAGCAGCACGGTGCGATGGCAGCGCATGGCAGCAGATGGCAGTGGCTCCGTGCTGCCTGCGGACAGCCCTGGGCAGTGCTTTGCACGGCAAGTGTCAATGTCTGGGGCTCTGGGATTCAAAACGAGCTCTTATTTTTGCTGAATGAGATTGAGCTGAGAGGATGAGAGACGGGAATCAGTGGGTGTGCTGCAGAGCCCACCCTGCACTGCGCTGTGGGGGCCACGACCATGAGTTTGGCCCCATGGGAGATAGCCAGGATGGCATCAACACCACAGAAGGCTGCAGGGGCCGGGGGCTGCCCTGTGTGGGCACAATGCCTGCCAGGGGTGGGCCTGAAAGGAAGGAAGGAAGGAAGGAAGAAGGGACTCACCTGCAGAGCAATGGGATGGGAGCATGCCCTGAGCCACACCGGTGGGAACTTTGTGTTAATTGCCATCCAGACTGCTCTAATTACAGGCTGGAGAGGAGCTGCATCGGACCTGTTCTTCCTTATCAGTTTATTGCCGTGATGTTTTCCTAGATTCCGGGATGAATCAGAGCATTGCATTGCCTTTCGTGCTGGCTGGAATACATTTCCTGGAGAATGTGAAGGGTGTTTTAGTGCTATTAATGAGTAATTAACCTGGATGCTCTGGGTTAGAGGCTGCTTGGCGTTCACGGCTCATGGGAAAACTCAACACGAGGAAGTTGGGAGGCGGCCATGCCCAGCACCTGTGGGAACAAAGCAGGTTTCTGTGCTGTGACAACAACAGCAGAGGATGGCCTTGGGAAGGCGGCCACGCATTGATTTGTTCCTAAGCTTCAGCAATGCCTTGGCTGGGGTGCAGCACGCCCTGAGGGATGAGCAGTGAGCGTGACTCAGCGTGCAGCATGGCCAGGCGCTGCTGCCCAATCACCGAGGAATGGCCCTGGAATAACAGTGGAGTGAAATATTTGAGACCTTTCTGGAGATGGATGGACAAAAATTTCAGCTTCTGCTTTGACTTTTAAATACACTGAAATCTTATGTCTGTCTGCAAGTTGATCCCAAGGGACAAAGTGATGGAGAAGTTGCCATCAGCCCAGGTGATCGGCACCGAAGGGGCTGGACCATCACAGCAGAGCATCTCAAAGGTTGCTGTGGGTTAAGGAGATTCTGGCACTGGGGTGGTGCACAGCAGGTGGGCTCCTCTCAGGGCAGCCCAAGTTTCATGGCCACATCTGAGGGTGGGAGAGCATGGGCCCCTCCATGGCTTGGTGGTGGCATGAGCCATGAGGTCCTTGCCCATTCAGCCGGGGACGTCTGTCCCCACTGCCCTGGGTGATGCTACAAGAGGTTTAGGAGCCTTTAAATGCCTCTGCAAAACAATCTGCATCATTGCCATTTATTTAGGATACAACACTGACCCAGACCTCAGATGGCTTCCTGTAGGATCCAGCCCGCTGTGGCCAAGGCAGATGGCACGGGGTGGGGAATGACATCAGGGATGTGGGTGAAGGTGGAAAACCCCAATGTGAGTTAATGGTGGGAGGTGCTTGCCTTTCTGGAGGTGAACTGACCTCAGAAATGGGGAAGACACAAGAACCAGGAGCTGATGGCTGTGCTGAGGGTGTGCATTTGGAGGCATCACCAGCCAGCAGAGCACGGGGACAGGCACAGCGATGATGGGGCTGTGGGGATGACCCTTTGGGTGTGCTTCCATCCATCAGAGGGATAAAACCCCACAGCAGGCACTGGGATGGTGCAAAGAGAAAACCCTGAGGGTTGCAGGTAGGAGAGTCTAATTGCTGCACTCATTGCATGCCATGATGCAAGATGCAGTGGCTGCAGCACGCCTGTGCTCAAGGAATCCCCTGCAGCCATCCCTGGAGATGCAAGGATTTGGTTATTAAAACCACCAGAACACCCCCAAATTAGAGCTGCAAGCATTTTCCTGCATACAGTCCCCATCTTTGTGTCATGCACAGACACAACGCTGGAATTTCCTTCCCCCCCCATCTTTTTCTTTGCCTCTGGCACAAATTCCAGCATGGGTTTAATGTTTGTCAAGCAGCATGAGACCTGAAATGAAAGGTGCTACACAAGCAGAGGGCAGACTTTAAGCCTGTGTGATGGGCTCTATAGAAATGCTTGTATAATAATAATGACATTAATAACAGGCTGTTGTTTGTCATCGAGCAGATCCAGGGCCTGGGCACGCCCAGAGCAGCTAATAGTGAACAGAGAGCTTCAGCCTGCACACTGCTCCAGGAACAATGGGTGTAATAACACCCAAATTGCTCTCCAAAACCCTGGTGTGGTCCTCCTCCTCGGGGCCTTTCCTGGGACACAAACAGCTGAGAACAGGGTTTCGTGGAAACCAGCTACCTGCTGTGCTCCAGCTTTTGTTGCTGGCTCGTGCTCTGTGAGTCATTTGTTGCCTGAATGTTCTGTCTCAGTTTTTCTGTCACAAAAAGAGGAGGGGAATCTTTCATCTTCTCTGCTGTTTGTGGACACCTGGAGCAGAAGGTGATGGGTGGGCTTGGTGATTTCAGTCATCTTTTCCAACCTTACTGATTCTGTGACTCTAAGGTTCTTCCAGCATCCAGCCTCCATTGTAGGGCAGGGGGAGCCTCCTGGTCAGTGATCCCCAATGCAGTGCTGGTGGATCCCTAAAATTTGATATATTAATTATCACATCAACATCTCTCCATCACTATGCCTGCTTTCTGCCTTTGCACGCAGCTTTTTATTGCTCCTCAGCAGTCAGTGCGTGCAGAAATGTGGCTTCTGCCTTATTTGTGGGGCTCATGAATGGAATGCCTCCAACGTGGATGTCACGTCCTGGAGCTTGGATGCAGTGGTGACCTCCCTCATAGCATCATGGACTCATAGAATCGTTAGGGCTGGAAAAAACCTCTAAGATCACCATGCCCAAGTGCCAGCTCTGCCTCTCATCTCTCTGCCTCCTGAAGCAGAGGAGGAGGAACTTCCCAATGTCAGCTTTAGATGCCAATCCCAGGGCTCGCAGTGATAACATGGAGCTGGGATTCTCATGCAGGGCTGCCCCGGGAGGAGCCGGCTGCTCGGTGCGCCAGACGGGCGCTGCTCTCTGCCTTTGCCTGCTATGCACACACAGCTATTTGTATAAACTGGTGGACGCACGTGGGAGGCGAGCGAGGCAATCAGTCTGGCTCTGCAATCTGGAAGGGAAGTGAAATATGTCTGTAAAGCTGGGTGTGAATGGAGAGGAGTGACAAGTGCAGGCAGTGCAGAGAGCACGCTGCTGCAGGGGTGGGTGCCACATGGGTTTGGATTTGTAGGGTGGCAGCACGGGATGCTTGCAGCACTGATGTCTGCTGTAGGACGCCCATACATCCGCCACAGAGTCCTTAAGGTTGGAAAAGGCCTCTAAGATCACCAAGTCAACCCATGCCCACCATGCCAAGCCGTACAGTCACAGAAGCATTAGGGCTGGCAAAGACCTCTCAGATCCCCAACCTCAACCCATCCCACTGTGCCCACGGCCCACATCCCTCAGTGCCACATCCCTGCAGTTTTCTGGAACACCCCCTGGGATGGTGACCCCACCACTCCTGGGCTGCTGTGCAGTGCAGCACTGCTCTTATGGAGAAGAAATATTCCCTAACACCCAACCTGAGCCACCCCTGGCACAACGTGAGGCCGTCACCTCTTGTCCTGTGGCTGTGGAAAGACCGGTAACCACCTCACTGCAACCTCCTTGTCCCTTCCACAGCGCTCTCACTCTTCTTCCCCCTGCAGAGGGCCGCCATCTGTCTGTCCATCCGTCTGTCCGTCCACCCCACAGCACGCACATGTATGGGAGGAGCCTTGGCACGGGGCAGCGCACACTGACCCCAGGCAGGGAACAAACCCCTGGGTCCTGCCCAAGGTGACGGGCAGCAACGGAACCGCTCTGCAGTGTTTGCTTTGTGCGAGTACACAATAACGCTGTAACCTTGGGTTGTTTGCACTAGCCAGGAGTGTCATTGCCAGCGTTGCATTCAACAGTTGTACTTGACTGAATAAGCAGACTTTTTTTTTTCCCCCCCTCTGTCATAATGGCACTGTCCCACGGAGGGGAGATGGATTGCTTTTTCGGTTGCACATGCTGTTATCGCTGCGCTGTTCTAATGCTAGTCAAACAGTGCTGTGAATAGCCAAACTCAATAGCAGCAGTGTTAGGCTGGAAAGTCAATATTAGCTGAGCAAACAAAGCAAATAAAGAGTTGCTATTTGCGTAGCTATGAGTATTTGTATGCTCTGCTGCTGAACAGGGTACTTTGAAATAATAATTAAAAAAATGTTGTTCTTCAAGGCAGGGAATGTTTTTTATTTAGGGTAGAGGAGTCAGCTTTTATGAAAGGCAGCGTTCACTTCCCTGTGAGCAGCCCCACGAGCATTGGCTGCTCTCTGCCCCATAGGATGCTGCTGCGTGGCAGGGCCGTGCGTGTCGGGAGCGCGGTTCCTTCTGCTTTCTTTTGCATTTCACTGTTTCTTGTTAACGTTCTGGCATGTTTCGAGGTTCACTGTGTGACCTTCTAAATGGCACATGCCTATTTATAAGCAGCTGTCTGTGGCCTGGTGCCACTTTAAGAAGGCCTGGAAATGAAATCCAATAAACCCTTCCTTCATTAATATTGGATATCTCAGGGCACGCACCCAATGTGCATGTTCAGGAGGGGGGGTGGCAGCCCACCTCCCTCAAGGGCTGTTTCCTTTTGGGAAGCGTTGCTGGCACCACGTGCAGAGGTTGCATGCAGATGTGGGCCCCTGGCTGCTGTCTGCCAGGACCCCGAGCTCACGGGATGAGCTGCTCCACGGCTGCCATCTGCAGAGAATTTTTCGTGCAATCTCTGGGCCAGGATGCTTCAGATCTAAATAATACAGCTAAGGGATTAAATAATTAATTCCAAAGGAGGAGAGGCATAGGCAAGGGAATGAATATACACAGCAGGTTGGGCTGAGCTGGAGGGAGATGGAGAGTCGGCGTGGTGCAGAACAGGGACAGCACTCATGCTGGGGAGGTCAGGAGACTGAAGGAGATGAGATGGGGATCGCAGAGCCATGCAATCACTGCATTTGGAAAAGCCCCCAAGATCTGCACATCTAACCAACCCATCCTCACCCTGCCCACTGACCACAGTGCCACAGAATCATAGATTAGCTTCGGACAGAGGGGACCTCCAAATGCTCCAAGTGCCACATCTCCATGGCTCTTCAGCATCTCCAGGGCTGGTGCCCCCACCGCTTTCCTGTGCCAACACCTGACCAGCACTTAGCAGATAAAACAGAGCTCAGTGCGTGCATTTGCTGCAATCCTGCTGCAGTGTCTGGGCTCCAACTTGTTGCATTGCTCCTGTCAGTCCCATATGGACATCAGTCTCCCCTTCTTCCCTAATTTTGGTACTGTGCCTCCGTGGTGCTCCTAGAAATGTAAAAATGTCTTCTTCTCCATGCTGCTCGGTGTGTCCTGATGTCGCAAAGCACATTTACTGCACAATTATAGTGCTGGCTAATGCTGTTTGGAATAATTAAATTCACATGACAAATGTAGTTGCATTAATTTTATTTATCTTGAGTGGCTTAACAGGAACTAGCAATGGAAAAAGTAATTATTTTGCTTCTAGGGCACTGGGATTGCTGATTTGGAAACCTCTCTGAGACATATTCCTTAAATGTGGAATAGCAGCATGTGAAATGCATGAGGAGCTAATACAGTGCATAAAAATGAACGTAATTTCTGAAAAATGGAATTAATGAGGCAATGAGACTGTTTTAATGAGCATAAGGTCTGCAGTAAATGTCGCTGTTCCCATGTCTTTATTGTAAATTATAATGAGCGTTGCAGCCAGCGCTGCGGGATGCGGGGAGGGAGGCGGCGGGAAGGGAGGGATGGAACCCGATTTGGGACCCTCTTCTCTCCCTTCTCCCCCTTTTTGGTGGAAACGTTTTTATTCCCTCGCGTACCTGAAGAGCTCACAGCACTGTCTGATTCCTCTTGTTCAATGGGTGGATGAGCAGCTCCAAGCCAGGGCTGTGGCTGCGTACCGCTGGGAGAGGCGCTGCGTGCCGTGCGCTCCGAGCCAGGTATAAACCAAACCCTTCTTTGCACTGAGCTATTGCAAATCGGCTTGATGACTTTGTCTCCAACCAGCAGTGCAAAAGTGGCTTCTGCTGAGCACAAGATAGGAATAACCACAGCGGGCGGATGGCCTGAGGCCGCGGTGATGGGCACGGTGACGGGCACCGCATGCGGAGACATTTCCTCTCTGCTTTTTCTCGTTTTCTCCTTAATGCAGCCTCACTGTGAAACTGTTCTGTGTTTGTAATTTAGAGAGATATGACAAACAGGATCATCTTTGCCTTGGCTTTATTCTCAGTTTTGCTTTCTTTTCCTGTTGCCACTAGCAGGGTCTCCGTGATCCCGCTGGATCCTGTGGGGAAGGTTCACGCTGACTTTCCATGCTTTTCCCCCAAATCCAGCAGCAGAAAGACGCAGGACTCAGAGATCCTCTTTGCCTCCTCCCAGCTCAGCAGTGGGTCAGCGCCCCATGAGCATCTCCAGATGATAAATCCCTGCTGCCCCGGGTGGTTTGGTTGCCTTTACCACCTCTGTTATCAGCGCTTCTGCTGCTCCAATGGGGAATTGGGGTCACTGAGTGGTTTCTATGGCAATTCTCAAAGATGTGCCCTGGGATCTCTGCACAGAGCTCCTGTTGTGCTGCAGGGCCCTGCTCTGCCATCGGTGCTGCCCCAGCACTGGGATGGATGTGTCCCTGCAGGAGCTGCGTGAGGTGGTGACTTCTGGAGGAGAAACAGCCACAGCCTCTGGGTGCTGGTGGAGCTCTGCGACGGAGCCACAGCGGAAGACACAAAGAAAAACGCCATTTTGAGCAGAATTTTGAAGCTTTTTGAAGTCTTTCCTTCTTTTGTACTTGGGTTTCCCTTTCGTTTAAAAGGCAGGAAAAGAGGAAAAAAAAAAAAAAGGAAGAATTACAAAGAAGGGCCCCCAGAGGGTCTCTTCCCTTATTTTTTCCTCCATTCTTCCATGGAGGAAAGGAGAGAAAAAGGACACAAGTGGGAAGAAATGCATTTCCTCACACGGTGCCCAGGTGCAGCATGGCCATCCCCACCCCACATTCCCTGCACTCCCCAAAAAGGGCTGCCCAACACTGGGCTTTGTTCCGCTCGGCAGAGGTTGGAGCGCTGTGACCGCTCTCCCCTGGCAAGCGGCTGCCTGTTTACAGACATGTAAATACAACTTCACAATTGCCATAAATCCTATTGTGCAATATTCTCTCCAACCAATTAGATCCTGACATCTGCTTAATGTTTAATTACTTTTTGATGAAGGAAACGGAAAAATTGACAAATAGTTTAATCCATCAAACGTCGGCCTTTTGTGAGCGTGTTTATATAAAGCTCACATGCCAACATCTCTTAATTTTTCTTGCTGCTCTGGCAAGGATGAGGACAAATATTTATATTCCAGGCACACAAGATGGCTTTCATATTGTTTTCATGTTTAACTGATTTCAAATGAACTAAGATGGCTCTTAATGTGGTTACAAGAATTTGCCATTAATTTTCACTTAAAATTGGATCCAGCTTGCTACATGTCTGCAATATATTAAAGTTAATAACGATTTGTTTAGAAAGCGCGGTGCTTACTGCTGACTGATTGGCACACGGTCGCTTGGTGGAAACGTCGGATTCCTATTATATTTAAATGATAATTAAGCTTAGAATATTACTCCTATTTCTGAGTGCTTAATGCAGAATACTTTGGTTAATGGGATGGGAACATACAGCGCAGCACCTCAGTGGCACAGTACGTAGGGGCTGCGCTCCTCCACCCACTTCTACATGCTGCTATGATGCTGCTTTCGTAGATACACAGAGTTATAGAAGCACTGAGGTTGGGAAAGACACGGATTTAGGGCCACGAGTGGATGATGGGGGATGATGGGGCATTTCTAGGTAAAGTCTGGCAGCGGTTCTGCTCAGCACCTTCACCCCCAGGGTACCACACAGTGCCAATGGGGGACGTGTGGGTGATGGGTGAACGGGCCGGGTGATGGGTGGGAGACGGTGGGGATGGGTGAGGGGTGAAGGGGAATGGGCGATGGAGGAAGGTGATGGCTTACAGGGATGGGAGTGAGGTTGGATGGTGGGCAGTGAGGATGGATAACGGGCGATGGCTGATGGCTGATGTGTGATGGGTGCTGCAGATGGATGACGTGTGATGGCTGATGGAAATGGATCGTGGGTGATGGGAGAAAGAGGTGGAAGATGGATGAAAGTGATGGAGATACTCATGCTGTATCCAGCTGTGCCTGCAGTGGCTCCAGCCCCTCAAAGTAATTGGGTTTTTATCCCAAGCAGCACTATAGGGATCTGGAAGACCTGCAGCTGCCGCTGCCTTCAGGCACTCCTTGAGGAACATGGTGATGCAAAACCTCCCCACCCTTCTTCTGTGCTCAGTGGCCTCAAAGCTCAGCTTACAAAGAGCAAAGGGTTGGTGAGTAAGCCTTGCTTTCTTGCAGCACTCTGCTGGGGTATATCAAAGAGTTTTTTAGAAAAAAAAACTCTCTGGATGGGGTGTGACTGCTGCTTATTGAGGTGGCCTTTGCTCTCTATGCCTTATTTGCTTTGTTTATCCTCAGATTTATTTCAAGCTGTCCCATGCTGGCCCTGTTCTGACTATCCCCTCCAGCCTCTGGTCCCAACCACGAGCAGGGCCCAGGCAATGCTCCCACTGCTCCTACAGCTCCTGCTCCCCATTG